CAAGATTACTCAAACTTAAAATTAAATACACGTGTACATCTGTAGGATTGAGGCCAGAGTACAAGATAAATGGATGTTTCTAGAGAATCATCAGCAAAAAACACATCATCCATCCATTCCAAAAAAGTCCACCAAAAGAGACAGAACAGAGACATAAAAGAAAATCAACCCATTTTTCTAAATATTCTTTTTCGGACACGAACAATTTTAGACTGTTGGTGTATCAAGCAAACCCATCAAGGACTGTATCCATCACATACACCTGGAAACACCAGAGCACATTATGGAAGTGTGGAAGTAAATGTTTCAGAAATACCACAATTTCTATCTATAGATCTCCAAAAATAGAAAACACTTGTTTAACCTCGTTTTAAGACAGAAATGATTCCTAGTCAACTACAGTTCATTATACCATGGAAATAATCTCTGTATTAATTAAAAAAAAAAAAGTCTCAAAAGAACTAGGGAAAAAAGGGGGGGAGGTAGTCTGTGGATGATGAGAATATCCATATCCACAGCTGCATTAGGTAGGATAAAAGCATTTAGAAGCAATATTAAACCCCTGTGCTGCAGGACCCAGATTAAAGTGCCGGCTGCTGAGGGTTGGGGGCTGGTTTCCCCTCTGAGCAGACCTTGCCAGAGTTTTCCAACAGTGCCCAGAGCTGGGCCCCATCAGGCAACGCTTGGAATGGGACAGCCCAGGGCTGATACAAACCTGGCTTTCTTCACAGTCAAAAATATGGGAAAACCACTCATATTAACACTGTGATACAGTATCAAGACCACAGTATCCATCCTGTGGAAAGGGAGCAGTGGTTGTTGGGAAAGGGGCTGGGCTGAACTCTGAAAAAAGCACTAAAACTTTTTTTGCTGGATATTAATGTAACATAAATTATTTAAGATCTAATCATGCTATGGCCTGGATCCTGACCTTGTTATTGTGAAACTAGGAGCTGTCATTTAATTAACCTTGTACTGCAGAGCTCTTGCTAAAACCAGAACTTAAGTGCTGTGCCTAGGAAGGCTGAATGAAGAAATGGGTTCATTTCACCCCACTGACCTCTAAAACATAGTTACTTCCCATTGGATAGAATAGACTGAACTAATCTTAAAATAAAATATTTTTTATCCTGTAAGACCTACCATTCTATACCTTACCTTAGGTTAAGATGGAAGATGAGATATTTAACTATTTCATTGGTTTCTGAAGGAAGTTAAAATACAATTTTTTTCTAGATATGACATGTCCAAATCTTTCCCCTGCAGAAATTCCATTAACTAAACTTTAAGCTCTGCTTCAGATGAGATCTGAAGAGATGTTTGCCTTAACCTCCTTGGGATTGCTGACAACCCTTTATTTGCCTTTTGCAACTTCAAATGTGTCGTTTTTAATGCAGAACTACCATGATTTCCACTTTGGGGTGCCCTGATTCGGTTTGGGTACAGTAACAGGAACAAATGGAAGTGCTGATTTGCATGTGAAGCTGGAGATAGGTTTTAGAAAAGCTGCTCTGGCGAGGGCAGCACCGCGGCGTGCTCAGCACCGGATCACATTAATCACAGGGTACTCAGCGAACCTATTCAGCCTCCTACAGAAAATACAGAAGTACATTTTTAGCAGGCAAAGCAAAGAACTATGAGTATCCTTGTGACAGTCTACAGATTTCTCAGGGCTCTCTGGAAAGAAACTTGGACTTCTGCCACCTGCTCCGATTGTGTTCATGCATAAATGATCCAGAGAATGGGTTGACATTACCTCTAATTAGGGGTAATAACAGCCTGCTGCTGAAAGGGCCCGTTCCCTTTCTCTTGCATGTCCATCCCTCACTTCTCCTGCTTTCCTTCCTGGAGCCACGAGGCAAGTCAGTTCAGTGACCTGATCCAGCAGAAAACTAAGCCATTAAGAAAAAAAATGTATATGTTTCTTTCATTAGGTCAGTTCACTGACGCTCAGTAGCCATTTGAGTGCGATCCAGGGGCTGGAGAGGGGCGAGATGAAGGGAGAGGGCAGGACTACACCCTTTTGGTGGCCTTCTGCAATTGCACGGGTCACAGGTGACAGCAAAGCCCGGCTCTGAGCCCCAGCGTGGCTTCAGGACTCACTGACACATTTCTAAGAGTTAATTAAGCATGGCTGACTCTTAGTTTCAGCTAACTCTGGAGTGGCAGTGTAGAGGTGTGTAATAATGAGGAATAGAGTTGGGAATAAAATCATGTATCCTGTTTAGTTTGTACCTCAGAATGGAGCTGTAAAATGGAACAGAAAGGGGGGAAAGGGTGCACTGCTACAGTCCTGTTGTAGTTGCAGAAGAAGGCTTGACCCTTAATTTGTGTTTTCCAGTTTAACAAACCGATTTTTAAATTTCATACAGGAAAGGAAATGGTCATTTCAAAGCTACAGCACTGGGGCTTGAGGCTTAAAATGACACATGGGTTTGGTTTGAAAAAGGAGATGAGGTGAGATTTCTTTGCTGATTCTGTAGGTCCTTTTCCATACTATGTCTTTGAATGTGATATGAACCCAGCAGTACATCAGTGTGCAATGCTGTTGTATCTTTCAAAACCCTTCCCAATAAACAGGAAAAAGAGTAATGGACAGAAAAATAGTGGAAGAGTGGGTTCAAAGAGCCTATTTTAATACAATTATTTAGAAAGACACTTGAAGTCCCCAGATTTATGTCTCTTTGCAGGTGTTCTGTTTTTTTTTTCTTTAGAGAAATCTGTTTTTAGGGAACAGGTCAAGACCCAGGTGTTATTAGTTCAATAGTACTGGCCCATGATGTAACAGTTCAACCATAATTTTGTGCAGAAACAAGAAGAAATAGTGAAATATCCATGTTGTTTATGTACATGTACATAAACATGCCATGGCTTATGAGCAGTAGTGTAAAATATTTTTAAATTCACGATTCCGTGGGAACTAAATGACAGAGACTTAAATGTTTGTTTGAGATGGGGAGTTTTATGTGACTGGTTTTTGATAGTTATCACGTCTCCCAAGAAAAAGTCATAAAGAAATCACAATCAGTTTGTTACTCATTGCTTTGCCATGTGGTGCTCAGACAGCCTCAGGCACCAGTGGGGGACACAGAAAATGCTGGTTGTGGGATGAGGTCTTCTGGGGGTTTTGTTTGTTTGTTTTTTAAGAATTAAAGCACACCAAAGAAACAGTAGTATTTTATAATCCTAGAATCATTCTGGTTGGAAAAAACCTTTAAGATCATTAGTCCAACCACAAAACTAATGGTGCCAAATCCACCCCTACACAGCAGTACTGTCACCCCTAAAGGAGAAAGAAGGTGGCCAACAGTCCATGGAGTCAGTGATACAAGAGCAAAGGCTTGTTCTTCTGCAGAGGTGTTTTAAAGCCTCTGTAGATAAAAATCTCACCCAAAGTTGTTTATAACAAGAAGAGGACTGTGTTTATTTCCTGAGAAGGGAAGGAGATCAAATCTAGGTGGTAATAAATGGTAGTTTCAGAATGCCTCTGAAGACTTCAAATCCTTAAGACTGTTCTTCTTGGATGTTTCAGCTACATCTTTTTAAAAAGAATGCCTTGTGAATGAAAAGCATCCAGTGACCTTGTTGGTACAGATTGTCCTTTTCTGTGCTTTAGTAAATGAACGACCTTGCAAGAAAGGTGTGAAGAGAGGAACAGAGCAAAAATGTTAACGACAATCTGCACAGTTTTAAATGTCAAGGCAATACAAAATAACCAATGCTTTTGGTCGCTAATGGAACTAGCATGGATTCAGCTCCTATGTGACCATCCATGTGCCTGTAAATAGTCCAGTATTATTTCTATTGTTCGAATTGTATTTTTCTTACTGGAAATCAATAGCAACAGGTTTGTTTCTGACTCCTGACCCACAAATTTGATGTGGCTCAAGCACTGTATGGCCTCACCTTTTCAGGAATAATCTTCATAACTGTGCCATGTGTTAGCTGGGGAGTTCTGCTCTTCACGTCATTTTCCCCTCTGTAAAACACAGAAAAAATAAATTGGGGTTTAAAGGGTTTATGTGAACATGGTAATAAAACATCTTTCAACACTAGCACGTGTATCTGTTGAAATGTTCTGCTTAATCAACCTTATCAACCACTTGCTGATAAAAACGGGTTTATCAGGAGCTCTGGGCCTACGAAATGTGAAGACCTGAACTACGTGACAAAGGATTAGGTGGATCAGTGTTAACTGGAAGTGAGGGTGGACCCTCACCCCAGGACATACGTAGGTTAAATGTTTCAGCTTTTCAGGGGGGGAGTCTGCAGCAGGAAGGGGTTGAGACCCGGGTTTGCGGTTGTTCTGAGGGGGGGACACCCCGTCCTGTCTGCCCCGAGCACAGGGGCCGTGCACGGGGCTGGGGGCACGAACCCCCCGGGAGCTACAGATTCAACTCCAGCTTCAACCGAGCTGCTCACCAAGAGAACGCGCCCGGGACTCCAGCCGGGGCTTGGCACGGGGGTTCGACCGTACAGATCCGCTGAGGGACCGCGGCTTCCTCAGTGTCAGGGGCTGGGGCCCCTCATGGGCAGAATCCGGGGCTCCCTCAAGGGGGGTCCCTCAAGGGCAGGGCCGGGGGTCCCTCAGGGGCAGGGCGGTGCCCCCTCCCCGTGGCGCCCCCTGGCGGCCGCAGCGGCACAGCGCCCCGGCGCGCGCCGCCCGCCCTCAGTGTGTCCCTCGAGGCTGCCGGGAAAGCGGCGGGCGGGGCGGGGCCGCGCTTCCTTTCGCGCGGGCAATGAGGCATGGCGGCGGGGCGCGCCCGGAGGGCATGCCAGGTCTCACCACCCAATGGAGGCCGCGGTGCGGGGGCCGCGGGCGGGGTGCGCAGCCTCGCGGGGCGCGCGGCGGGCGCGGCCCGGCCCGCAGAGCCGCGGCGCCGCCATGGGGGTGTTAGCGCGGCCCGGCCCGTCCGCACCGACGAGTCGCGCCTGCCCTCCCCGCTCCGCTCCGCCGCGCTCCTCCGCCCCGCCGCCAGAGCCCATGAGCCTGAACGAGGCACTCGATGCAGGCGCTGTCTTGGCGGAAGCTCTACTGAGCCGCGCCAAGCTGAAAGCCTCCAGCCGCACCTCCGCGCTGCTCTCCGGCTTTCGCCATGGCTGAGCGCCCGGCCTTGGCCGGCGGCGAGGGGGCGGCTCGGGGCCGCGGGCGGGGAGCGCTGCGCCGCTATTCCTGGTTGCGACGGTGCTCGTTCGCCTCCCCGCAGGCTGTGGCTGTCGCAGGGGCGGGGGACGGGCCGGGGCGGGCGCTGCCCCCGCTGCGGTGGATGCCTCCCCGACCGGGGGTGGGCGCTGCACCCCTTCCCTGACGCGCTCCCGGGCAGCGGCGGAGGCGGCGGGGCGCCCCAGGAAGCAGCGGGTCCGTGCTGGGTGCCTGATGGGGGGTTCTTTTGCTCTGCAGAGCTTCACGCGATCAATTAGGAGCTGCCTCTCCGCTTTTACCTCCGCCGGACAGTGCAGGGTTTATTGGATCGTAGCGGATCTTCCCCGCGGAGGATGCTCGGGGCCGCAGAAGCCGCGTGTGCCGCGGGGAGCCCCGCAGGGCTGAGCGCGAGATCACCGGGGTGTATTTCGGGGTTTCGGTTCACTCCGGTGTCAGGTGCGAAGGGCCGGGCCCGGGGCCCCGCAGCGCTGCCTGGGTTGCGGTGCTTCCCCTCCCGCTCCGCTTCCCGGACCGCACGCTTTGTGCAGTTGTCCAGTTGCACTGGACCTGCTTTCAGATAAATTAAGAAAAACAACTGATTGAAGTTGGCGGTCTCTCTCCGACTCGTTACATCCCTTATCAACCCTTTGCAGTTGCGAAGTTTCTCATTTTTTAGTTACGGAAACCAGAGGCGTTGCTTACAATGCAGTTTAGTGCGTGGTTTAGTAATGGATTTTGTTGTGTTTTGCTTTCGGGTTTGATGAGAAGTAACCCAGTGTAGTAACCCGAGTTGTCTTAGATGAAAGCTCCATATAGGTGGAAATACGGTTACTTACCGACTTCCCCATCAGTCCAGTCCTCTGACGTACGAAGCTGCAAATTCTGCCCTCAGCCCCTTCATGCATCTATTAAAAACGCCTCATAGTTTAGAAATACCGAATTGCGCTGCTCTGACTTGCTTTGTCTTGATTTTTTTACCCGCTTTTAACATACTGGGTATTTTCAGCCGTAGGATTTACTCCCCTCCAGAGCCATTGTTCCATTGATGCTGTCGGGAAACGCAGCAGCCTTCTGACGGTCAAATAAATGTCACTGTCCTCCTTCAATGGCTAAAAACAGACCACAGCTCTTCGGGGAGGTGGTGGAACTGCTGTTGGTTTGAGTGACAGGCGGCTGTGTTCGTGTGGCGTGTTTGAGTTGGTTCTCCTTGGGAAACGCATCCAGCCGGGAGCTCACTCGCCGCTCCTGCTTAATGAGTTTTCCTTGTTGTACATCCCCTCTCCTGTGTCAGAGCAGTTTGTCAGGGTGGCTGCTCGAGTCAGAGAGAAGATGGAAAAAAAGCCTGTTGCTTGTTGGTTTTTACAAATTTTCGTTTAAGTGAGGTTGCATCTCAATGTAAATGCTGTTGTTTTAAAGTTGTACATAATGTCTTAAATTCCTTTGAGTTTTCTCTAAATATATGATACGTGGACTCTCCAAGTCCATGGATCTATGAAGTGAGGCTTCTTTTACTTCCTTCTTGATTCTCTAGAATAATTCTAGTTTGGTTGAAAACTGCTGCTTTTCAGTTTGTCGTTTAGGGTATTTCAGGAAAAAGCCACTTTGTTCTGATTAACAAAATCTCCAGTGTCCAGGAGTGTTATGTGTGAACATTCATACTTTATTTTTCTGAAGTTCCCCCTTAAAAAAATCGATTTTTTTCTTCCTTTTACAAGATCTCACTGAAAATCCACCTGCAGCCTCTTTGGTTTTGCTCTGATGGACAGTCCTCTAGCTGAGACTTCCTAGTCTGTTTTCAGAAGAGCTGACTTAACATTCAAGTATTTTTAGATTTCTTTTTAAAAACTTTCCTTATCTTTTAGAGTTGCCTTTCTGCCTTGAAAAGCTGTTCTGCTGTCACACCTATGCCTTGTTTCCTGACTGCAGCGGGTTCTTTGGCACCTGATATTTGAATAAAATGCTGCTGAAGTACAATCTAGTCTTGGATCAAAGCTACAACAGCAAGGAAGCCTCACTGTTCCTCTATTTTCCCTATCACACAAGGGAGAAAGAGCTTAAATGACACATCCAGGACCACCCAGTGAATTGATGGGAATTGTCAGGAGTGGAATGTGCTGGTTTCCAAGCCAGCCCTATTGATCCTTGCTCTTTGATTAAACAGTGCTTGCATCCTGTAGTATGAGCTAAGTTTATCCCTGCTAAAGAGTTCTCTTTTTGTGTATAACTGCAGCCATTTTGCACAGTTTATTCCCTCAGGATTGGTTCCGTGTGCCGTGGGGAAACGAACCGTGCCAAAGGCACGAGATTGCCTCGGTCACTGATGTGGAGCATGAAGTGCTCAGCCAGGTTTCAAGCCCTGAAGTGTCACGTTTCCTCAGAGAAGATTAAAAACCTGTTTTACAGTTAGTTTTGTTTCAGAGCTGCTCGTGAGGATTTGCCACCGTGTGTGAACTCAAGAAGCAGTTGCAGGGTCTGGTGTTGGCAACTGCTGTGGGAGCAGAGCTCCTGCCAGTGAACCCGAGCATTTCCTCCGTGCAGGTTTCCATGGATGCTATCATCCAGTGCCATATGTCTGAGGGAAAATCCACGAGGCTTATCATCTTCATTTAGTACAATTTCCCAGTTTATGGGGCCAGCAAGTAATATCAGTCCCCCAAATTGTTAGAGGTAAAGAGATTGTAGGGTGTGTGCAGTCCATGAAAGAATGGAGGATTCCCTCCATGCCCTGGTGGAGGCATCAGGTATTTTTCACTTCTGTGTTATACCCCAGATATTGATGGATGATATTTTTCTCCCTCGTGCCTGGCTTTATCTGTTTTTATTTCCCAGTCCAGTTTATTTGAATGCAGGAAATATTTTGCAGATTGCATCCAGTACTGCAAGCACTGGCTCATCCACACCTAGAGCAGCAGAATCGAGAGCTCCAGAGGAGACAGGCTGCTGGCAGGTTATTTTTGTTTGAACAATTAATCTGACTTGTTGGTGTAATTTTGTCACCAGGGATGCATCACACAGTAGTATGACAATGTCATGATATGGGAGTCAGGAATCATAGGGAAGTTGTTAGATCCCAGTAGTCATCAAAGTGGAAAACTCAATGTCACCTCCTGCCACCAATTAACAGCTTTGTGGAAATAGCTGAGTCAAAACTAGGGGTCTGAATTATGCACTGTGGTTGGCTTCATTATAAATAGGATTTGGAGGAAGTTATTTACCAGACAGCATAGTTTTCTTTTTAATACTTTGAGTGCTTCAAGCTGCCTGGGCTTTGTCTAGATGGGAATGTATACACTTCAAATATTGAATATCATCAAAGAACTGTCAACTCTTGCCTTTGAAATACACCCAGAATGGTCTTCTGAAAGCAACTCCCATCATATTCTGCAGAATGACTGCGGTGATAAATATTTATGAATCTGATTTCCATCACAGCAGTTGGTGTTGAGGTGCTGCAGGGCTGGACCGGACCCGCTGCTGTCAGAGCTGTACAGGTGCTCAAGGCAGCACAGCCCTTGTCTAGTACAGGTCACTCTGCAGTTTTAAATACTAAAATGGTCTCTGTAGAAGTTTTTTATCTGTATTTGACTGGATTGCTGTAGAATAACATGAAACAGCAGCATTTTGTAACCTACAGGAAAGCATTACAGGCCTGGCTTTGTGGCTTCTGCCACCACTTACTTTTACATCGCTGTTGCGCTCACGGGTTAGAGCTGCGCTGAAGAATCTTCCCCCACATGAAAGGTTCCTTCTATTCCAGCCATGAAAACAATGTTTTGTGGCTCCTTTGAACGTTCCTGTCTCAGGGTTATAGATGAGCAAGGCAGGCAGCGTGGGGCACTCAAGGCCTTGCTGTTCTGTCAGAGTTGGGAGGATGTAAAGGTGACACTGAGCCTCTGGCTGATCTCACCCTGTGCTTATTGAATAGATTTACTTTGTTACACTGTGCAGAGGTACTACCTCCTCAAGATGCATTTGCTCCAGTCATCTGGGTATTGTCTTTTCATGTTTGCCAGCAAAATGAAATGAAATCCTTGTTTGTATTCTATTGTTGGTGTCAGCAAATATTAATGTGTTTTGTCGTTCTGCAACATACAATAATTACAGACTCGAGATCCTGGACTAAAGGATAAATGATGCTTAGTTTCCCTTCTGTATAAAACCAGAAATAAGATCATTATTTTGACTTATCTGTTTTTAATTTCCGGTGAGTTATTCTGGCTCATACACAATTCTCTCTCTGAGTTGTTTATAACTCTTCATGAATGGTGCAGACAGTCTGTGAGAGCCTGGCTCTGAGCCTCTCTCTCTGGGGTGAATAGTCCTGTCAGGAAAACAGGGAGCCAACCAGGAGTGCTGATTTCCACTGATGCTGTGACACCCATTTCATTCTTGATTTTCCTCTACAGCACTGGCTACTGATTTCAAAAGATATGTAAGCATATGATTTTAATTTAAAAGCAGGAGCTTTATTTAAGCCCCTCTGGTCTAATAAGACGTGGGAACATTTTAAATAAGCAAATAGAACTTGGTCAGGATATTAAACTGAAAAAAAAATTAAAATGCAGATTCTTCCAGAGGGCAAGTTCTTAAATTTTTTACAATATGGTAGTAATCAGGCTGCCATGAACCCAGGACTGTGGAAGGTTTAACATGGTTGTGTGCTAAAATTCAGTTATCTTCTGAAAGCATCTGAATGCCCACCATTTTTAGGCTTATGAGAGCTTCAGTCTTGAGTCTTAATGTCATGAGAGTCTTTTAATTTTGTCAAGAGCTGTAGTAAATCTGCCAGTCATATCTGTAGGATGATCTGAAGTTAAAGTTAGCTCTTCTTTGAAGCAGGGATTAGACCAGATGACCTCTTGAGGAGTCTTCCAACCCGTGTTACACTGTGATTAGGCAGCAGGGCAGGGCGTTTGCAGCGGGGCAGCTGCGCAGTGGAAATCATGCAGCAAGTGTTCAGAGGAGCTTTAAAAGTGCTGAAGGAAAAGGTGCAGAACATGTTGTGTTGGAAACTGTGCAGCCCTGCCCTGAGCAGGTCTTCTGGACAGGAAAATATCCTGCCTGGAACATCAGCATGTACTTGTGAGTTCAGGCTTTTTGTGGATTGGCATCATGTCAGGTGACCTCACCTGGGCCTTGTTCTTGCAGGTGTTACCTTACAGGAGCTGTTGGGAGCTGTTTATTTTGGAATTGCAGCGTCAGTAAAGGCGGGAGGAACTTCTGCCACTTCGCATCGCTGTTAGAAAACAGGCACGGGGCCTCATGATGAAAAACGGAGCTTTTTGTTTTAGGTGCCTGGCTCAAGCTTGGCCCAGGAAGTAAACTTGCAATTGAAAAGAGTTGGCAGTTTTTCTGCTTGTTTACACTGAAAGAGTTCCCAGATTAGCTTTCTTGAGAGTTTGAGGAGACAGAAAACACGAACTGATTTTTCACTTACAGGTCAAGTTGGGGTTACTCTGCCAGACATGAACACAAGGAGTTCAAAATCAGATGCTTGATATCATTACTACGTGGAGGCATTGATTAGTGGAAATATAAAATGTCTTCAATGTTTGGCGAATTAAATACATCAATTCTTAAAAGAAAATTAAGTCTTTATCTAATGAATCTCTTTAGTGTCATAGTTATGTTGACATACTACTAGGATGAAGAATTAAAGTGCCTTGCCATGCGGAATGGTTTTGAGTCTAGACACACCAGAAGACTTACAAGAAAAATATTTGATAAGTATGAAAATGAATCCTTGGTGGTGAAGGATTGCAATTGTTCTGTGAAAAACACACGAAGCCCAACATCCCACAAGTATGTTGGGACTTAACAAGCAATCCTGACAACCAAATGTTTATCCTCTCAAATGTGAAGTTTCCCACGACTAAAAAATGGTATTTTTAAATCTTTGAGCAAGAATCATATATGCATTAATATGATTTCTTGTTGAGTTTCTTGTAACACTTGGAAACTGTTCACTGGTTGACTGAGTGGTGAGGCTTATGAGAATAAAAGCTTTCAATAAAGGAATTAAAAAATTGGCAAATGGCCTTGAATGCCTGTTGAAACATGTCTGAGCAGAACCCTTGGTTGCCTTAATAGATTTGGTGCATTAGTGATCAGGTGTTCTGGTGTCCTGGAACATGTGTAGGAAGGTGGGATGCAGGACTAGCTGTAGCTTGGCTCAGCTCTTGCACAGTAGTGAGGTTTGAATGTTCTTGCTGCTTTTGCAGTTGTCTTCAGGTCCTGGTTTCCATGCCTCCCTGCATCCATGAACCCACATTTCAGGAATTTTTCTTATCAGCTTGATGTGCTTATATTTCAGATTACTGTTAGGTTTTTTTCCTCTGCACTTTAAATGTATTTTGTCTGCTTAATGAATTCCTTTGAGAAAGTACACTGAACATAGAGACCTTGGTGCATTGTTCCCTCTTTGGAACAGTGCTTTGTCTGAAAGTCAAATTTATCAGGAAAGATTATTCAGGAGAGCTGCTGGGATTAATATCACTCATCAATTGCACATGCATAAAACCACCTGACAGTTTTAAAACCTTTAAAAAGGCATTCTAGTTCATTTTCCTTATTCTGAGCTGGGTTTATGAGTTTCGTAGTGATGTTATTTATTGCTGATTTCTGCTCCTGAAGCACAGGATACTTGGAGATCTAAGGTTATAAAAGGGGATGGCTCATACAATAGTGGAGGATCTTCATGAGTAGCCTCATTTCTGGATGAGCAGTGACATGGCTTCCAGGGTGAGGAGCTTGTGATGCCTGGGACCACTGTACTATCTTTTCTTGGAGACATTGTCTTTCTTCAGCCTCTCACAGGCCTGTTTGGCTGCCACGGGCATTGTGGAGACCGTCATGTTTTCAATTTGTGTTCTGCAGTCTGCTTAAATACTTGAGTGAAAGAATATAGCTGAGAGCCACACAGAAAGGTGATCTTTTCTCATGAAAGGCTCCTGCTCTTCAGAAGTTAAACCCAAATATCCAAGGAAAAAGGAACCACCAAGGTTGTGATGGGCAGTCTGCTGCCTTTTTAAGGCTTTTATGTTATGGGTACTTAAACGACTTTATGTGGTGTTCATTCTACATGTGTGTGGGACACAAAATATTTCCTAATACCAAGCAAAATTTATAATCTATAGTGAAAGATCAAAAGCTGCCTCGAGAGTATAACATGAAAGAAGAAATGTTTCACTTAAGGAGTCCAGGTGTGTTATTCACAAAGTTCATCTGTTTTGATGGGATGAGCTGGAGGTGGCAAGCTGGTTGTGTTGTAACAGCTTTTCTGCATATTAAAGGTTTGCTCTACAACACAACAGTAAGTACGAAAACGGTGGCCTTTTGCTCAGACCTAAATTTGAACCTGATGAAAAGGGTGCAGATGACATGGAGAGAAACGTAAATGCAGACTTATTTCGGTTTAAACTTAAAATAATCTATAGTCAAATAATATGTAACATAGATAACTGCCTCTCTCTCTCCCTTCCTTTTCAGGTGGCCATGGTGGAAGTTCAGCTCGACGCAGAACACGACTACCCTCAAGGGCTCTTGATAGCCTTCAGTGCCTGCACTACTGTCCTTGTTGCAGTTCACCTTTTTGCACTCATGATAAGCACCTGCATTCTTCCAAACATAGAGGCTGTCAGCAACGTGCACAATCTCAACTCTGTCAAGGAATCTCCTCACGAGCGAATGCACCGGCACATCGAGCTCGCGTGGGCATTTTCTACTGTCATTGGGACTTTGCTCTTCCTTGCAGAGGTGGTGTTGCTGTGCTGGGTGAAGTTTCTTCCTTTAAAGAAGAAAACTGATAATACCCCGCAGGGCAACAGTTCTACCATCACGTCGGGACAGGCGGCAGCCATTGCATCCACATCTATTATGGTGCCCTTTGGATTGATTTTCATTGTGTTTGCAGTCCACTTCTACCGGTCACTGGTGAGCCATAAAACAGACAGGCAATTCCAGGAGCTGAATGAACTTGCTGAATTTGCACGGCTCCAGGATCAGCTGGATCACAGAGGTGATGCTGTCTCCTCAGCCGTTACCAATTTTGCCTAAGCCCGTGCTTCAGGAAGATAACCCCACTGTTCTGCTTCTGCCTTACGTTGACTGCCCTGTGGATGAACGGGTTGAACTGCTGATCACTGTTTGAAGAGAGATTATAAATATTGTTCTAACCCTTTAGAGAAGGAAAAAAAATGTTCCTTTCGTGCAGTTTTTGCTATCTGAAGGAAGGGATGGTGGGGTGTGATTGCACTGTGCGTGCAGCCCTCCTCCTGTGAACACTGTCTCGCTTATTTTCTCATTAATGCTGAATGGTGGCCGTATAAATACATGGAAAATAACATTGTACATTTGGGTATTTACTAGGAATGGGTAAAGAAGTTGTTGAGTTGTTTTTTTTCTCTGTTTATTTGATGTTGGCATTTACTAGAAGATACTGCTTGTCCGATCCATATTGCATGGCATGATACAAATTACTTGGGACATGCAGCAATTAGCACTTGGTTTTGGTGCTGGTGCTGCTCTCCCTGGAAAGCCTGACAGATGGTAGGAGCGAGAGCTTTCCCACCACTTTCCCCAGTATGTTTTGCTGCCAAGTAATTATTACTTTACTGATTTCTCCAGCGCCTTTTTCCCGTGGCACTTACACATTTTGTAACTTGCTAAACACCCCGGACTAGTCTTACTGTGATGTGGTGTGGCCACATGAGTAGGAATGAGACTCGACTCTTCCGTGGAAGAAAATAAAAGCAATAACTGTTTTTAAAGTTCTCATGAGCTGGCAAATATTATCTGGAGAGATAGATCTGCCTGTTTCTCATTTAGGAATCTTTTTTTAAAAAGGAGGAACTAGATGGAAATTATCACTGGATAATTTTTTTTTTTGCTTGAAAATCAGAACCACTGCTGTTTTTTTCCAAGCCAAAGTAGTAATTATTTTATACTTTTATATTGAAAATATATTTTTAATAAATCCTCAGATACAAGCAGCAAAAGGTGCTTTCTCTGTGTTGGATTCCCAAGTAATTAGCTATGCCTTGGTCTTCCTTGTTTAGAAAAGTCTTCTTGCTGAAGTGTTATATATTTAATAACTCATACATTTTTCGATTCCAGAGGAATCTGGAAGGCAACTATTCTGGATGTATATTTATTTATGAAAGTAGGTTGTTTGTAATTAATATTGGCTGCTTACTTTCAGACACATCTGTGACAGCAAAGCTACTGTGTCATTCTTTATTTCCTCTTAAGGCAAAAACTTCCATTTGGTCTCCTAGATAAGAAGTTTGTTCAAGAAAGTTTGCAGCAGTTGTCCTGGGCTGCTTCAGTAATTGTGGCCATGTCTAGGAGTGGGATTTTTTGGAATACAGTTCTTCCAGGCAGTGGCTCTGGGATTTAATAGGTAAAAGCTGTTTTTTGAACACAAACTGAGACAGGTTTCAAGTCTAAGGGAAAAAACTTGACCTCCCTGTCGTAGCTGTCACTGTGGAATGGAAACCTGGGATTTTGACCTGAGACAGGAATGACTGTGACAGGACAGTGGATTTGTACCTGACAGCCTGGGCTGAACGTGGTCTCACCAACCTCCATCTGGGGTTATCCCAAGGTATTTACAAACTGCAGGATGTGCCTGTGGAGTTTGGGTGCAGAGTGTGGTTGCTGCTGCAGGAGCCTCTGAAGCAGATGGGGCTGATCTCTCCTGTCAGCAGCACCGCAGTGCAACGTGTTGACAAGGTCACCCGTGGTGCCTTTGTATTGTCACAAACAACTATAAAAAAAAACCTGCTGGGCTGTTCTTTTCAGCAGCAGTCTCTGTTCACAAGCAGCAAACAGCTTTGCACTTGCTGTTTTCACAAGTCCTTCTGGCATACAGAGGCCAAACTGGATTTTCTCAGCTCTGCCATTACGTTGTGCTTCAAATCTGCTCTATTCCTGATGTAAATCTGATGGTGAGAATTGTGACTACAGTCCCACAGGTGCTCATTCATGGAGCACGGGAAGGATTTTGTTAGTAAAGGCATTAAGGAAGCATCATTCCAAAACAGAAAGTCTTGGTAATAGGCACAAAGTGTATTTTCCCATCCTTTACTGGAATACTAGTCCTGTCTTGGGGAAAAACTCTTAAAACCTCTCAGTAAAAGAAGAAAACCTGACTCAGTATTCACATTTGAGCAAAGGGTGCTGTCAGGCTTAAAAATTGTACTTCTGTCCATAAACTGTGTATTTAAAAGTTACGCAGTTCTGAATGAAGCCCAGAACATCAGTTTTCCAAGTTTACTTTGTAAAAATTACTTGCTGTCCTGGATAAGTAGCTAAATTTCCCATTGTTAATCTTTTACAAAGTGACAGAGAAGTATGGATTTTTGGTGGTTTTTTTTGTTTAAGAGATACAGACTTCAAAGCTAGTGGGACAACCTTAATTTTAACTTTCTCAAACTGGTAGGCCCTGAGCTAGTGGCACTGTTACTGCAGCTGCTTTTCTGACTGTTTGCTGCACTTTAAGCCATGATATCGAGTATGTTTCTCTCATTTTTCACCTGTGGAAATGGTCATGAAAGTTACACCTCGGGTACCTTTGTCACTGTGTGCCCAGGCAGTAACCAGACCAAACATGTGGATCTAAACATTGAGAGTGCACTTAAATTTTTTTTTTTTAATCCCTTATTTATACTAACGGTGTTAGGAGGCATTTACCTCAAGCATTTTAAACATTGGTTATTGTATATCACTTGTTTAGATATAAAATACTTTCATGAAATAAAATCTACTTAATTGTTGCTGATTGTTTGTTATCTAGAGGCCTAAAGTATACTTATTAATTGAAACATGATCTGTTGTAACTTCAAAAGCCATTTTGGGTCACAGGTATGTATTGGGTTAAGTTTGGGGGGAGTTATTTGATTGTAGTTTTCTAGGGCCTTGCTTTTATAGCAGATACTAAAAGCCCTCATTCTCTAAGGCAAAGACCTTGAAACCAAGAGGAGTGTGATTTCTTTACAGCAGCAGTAAGTCAGAGGAGCTGAGCAGAGTCCCCCTGCCTGTCTTCCAGTGTTTTGCTGCTCGTGGTTTTTCTTTTTTTTTTTCCCTCTTTAATTTTTTTTCTTTTTTTTTTCCAAAATAAGGGGGGTGGGAAGAGGCTACTGAGCAAAGCCAGCTGCAGAGTGAAGTGTACCTGAACAGCCTTGAGGGAAGAGTGAAGTAGACCATGATACACCACAGTGTGGATTTGACACTCAAATTAATATATAACTCAGGACTGTTCTTATCTTACATATTTTCTTTTTCTTCAGCTTCCAGTTATTAATTATTGCTGTCATCAAGCAGTGCCTGGGCCTCTGCTAAAACACCAGCTGGATCATGTAGTTCAATCTAAATAAAAAGAATACAAATCAGTTTTGCAGTGTAATTGAAGAAGCTTAAGGTTTTATAGATCTTGATTACTCAAGCATTCACAGAGAGTCTCCCATGTATCAGGACTTAGTTCATATTGCAGCCTTTCAACTATTGTTTTAGAAACACTGCTACACTTCCCTAATTTTATTAATGTGTTGAACATCACTTCATCTCCTTGAAATAGCTCTGTGGAGTGGCTGAGCCTCCTTTAACTAAACACATTCTTGGACAAAACAAGAATGGCTTTGATTTGTAGCCTGTTGGATCTCATAATTTTTAAAGAGTGTGTGCGTGAAAAAGTTTATGAGCATCTGTTAACTTCCTTCATACTCTGAGATCAACAGCTCTCTACTGATTAAAAGCACAATAACAGCAGTGAAAGTTGATGCTTTCTTTTTGCACCTAGAGCAGCAGAGAATTGGGTCATCACTTGGTCTTCAGGGAGTTAAATAAACAGTCAGACTTGCACATCCTGCATTGCCCACCAGCATTTCATCCCAGACTGTTGGGTTGTTGAGGCTGTTCTGGGTGACCTTTGACAAACCACATAAGGTAAATATTTTTAGGTACAGAAGTGCTGCTCCTTTCACTCTTTTGGAAAAACAGAGATTGTTTTTCCCTGGTGGGTATTTGGGGTTTATTACTCTGCACTGCTGTGGGTGTGCCTGGTGCTTACAGGATTAACTGGCTTGTCAAAACTGTCTCTGCTCAAAGGGCCCTTTGCTACAGAAACCAGATTTGAAAAAATAGAGGCAGTGAAGGTGTAGCAGCTGTGAGCTTTGGAAGGCTGCACGTGCCAGGTATCATTTGCAACAGCCTTGTCCCTGGGGCAGAGGAAGGTAGGTGGCTTTACCTGCTTATGGGGCTGTGCTATTCTCAGTGTTCCTGGAGCAAAGCAGTGTGCTGTGGTTATCCAGGGTGGTTCTGCTTGGCTCCAAGCAAAGAGGAGCTTCCCCACCCCTTCCTGCAGTAACCATCCCCTGGAAATGTGATGCCTTTGTGTTCAAGCTGAGACTCTTGGCCAGCTGTGTCACTTGGAGCCACATCTGTTCACTATGGGCTCCCATTCCCTGTCTTCCTTCAAGGGCAGAGCAGGGGATAGGCTCTCCTGTCCTCTGGCTCTTTTATCAAAGTGATGTGCAAGGACTTGGTGGCTGCCAAGTTGAGAGCCCAGTGTGTTTGAGTGTCTCTCCAAGTCTTCGGGATGGGGACAGGCACTGACTCTTCCTCAGCAGTGTGTCAGTCATGGGAAAGGGGAGCAGAAGGTGTTGGCTCTGGGACACCATCTGCCCACCTTGGGACCAGGTGGGAAGCTGCACACACCCTGCTGCCTCTGGGGCTGCTGGACACGATGAGCTCCTGACTTGGAGTACCCAGGCAGAGGAAGGAGCTGCTGTGAGCCCTGCAGCTGCCCGGGGTTCTGTAGGGTCTGCTCAGCTTCAGCAGTTGGGCTTGGGGAAATCGTTTGGTTTTGACGCAAATCCCACAATTGTCTCTGCCTCTATTGTCCCCGTTTCCTTTGTGCTGCCTCAGGTCTCTGAGCAGTTCTGGTGCATGAGAACTGCATTTTTTCAGATGTAGGTGATTAGGAGGCTCCAGCACAGGCTGGATGAACTGTTTGGCCCTATGGGGCCCTTGAGGACACTGCTGGCCAAAAGACACTGAGCACACACCCTATGAGTGTGGAATCCCACAGGGGTAATCACTAGAGGAGGGAAACGCTACCTGGAGAGCTGATCCAAGTGCTGATGGATGCAAACACAAATTTCCAAGCAATTACCTTTGGGATTGGGTACTGAGTAGGGGCCGGAGCTTTGTCTCTATCGAAGTCAACCAGAACTCCACACTTTGCTATATCTTCTGCCCAGGTGCCCTCTAACAACTGTCCCTTATCCACGTAGAAGTATCTCCCTGGGCCATTCTTCTTTCCATCTTTCCAACCTCCTTCGTACCGATTTCCATTTGCTGCAGTTAAATACATGAACAGACCATTTTGTTAAGGAGTTACAAATGAAAACAATCAACAGAGCAAAATGACAGAGGAGGAGGTGATATATTTGGCTTCTCTTAGTAATTTCCAGCAGCACAGTGTGTCATTTTGCTTTTGCAGTGCTCTGTTTGCTGCGCTGCAGAGGGAGAAAGGGCTGTGGAAGGAGCCCACGCTTGCCCAGCTGGAACAAGAACTGTGTTCACCTGCTTTGTTCTTAAGTGATACTCATTTTTTGCTGATACACTGAGCAAGTGAGCTCAGGGTAAGGGTCTGGTCACTGAGTCACTCCTCACAACGTGAAAAATTACAGGACACAAGTTTCAGATTTGTCACTGCAACAAATCACACAGGATCTCTGGCTTGAAGAGAGAGGTTTGCTTGTCTGGGCAAGGAACAGAGCACTGACTGTTGTCCAGGCAAAATAATCTTGATTTCAAAGAATATTTGCAGTTAGTTTTTCCTCAATGAATTAAGGCTGAGAATTGCTGTGAGTGTCTGAGCAGTTCAGGCAGTTACACTCTTTTTCCAGCTGTATTGCTTCTCCTGGCGTTTTTCTGCAAGTTGAGAGAGGTTATTTTTGGGCTTTGTGCTACTCTCCAGGAATCCATCCATCCATCCATCACTAACAGGGAAAGCAGAGCTGCAAGGAGAGGAGAGCAGCCTCATCCATGGATGCTGGTTGAGAAGCGGCATCACAACCACAGTGATGCTGGGACACCTCAAGGCCATCCTGCTGTCACTGGGAGAGTCCTCTGCTCTCCCCTTTGCCTACATATAGTGTTTCTAAGCCCAAAACCATGGGAATTTCTGGTAATTAGTGGAAGTACCTTTGAGTCTCAGCTGAACTTTGCTATTCTTCAGGACAAGAAGCGGCTGAAATACCAGGGCACCCTGCATGGTGCTGCAGAGGTAGCTGGGGCCTGCCAGAATGCTGTAAGGAGGAAAAACCAAAAATGCTTCTGTGGAGCATGTCTGCCTGGCTGCTCAGGCAGGCTCTGGTTTACAGGTTGGAGCTGTGGTGGTGGTTATCTGCAGCTTTGATCTGGTTTTGTGCTTATCTGCAACACCAACCTGC